ACATGTCGACATCAGAGAGAGAGAGAGAGAGAGCAAAAGGAATATGCAGACTATTACATAACGATGAGCTTCCTTCTTTGAACTTCTCACCAGGCGCTATGATGATGAAGAAATAAAGGCATACCAAAACTCTGCATTCTGCTACAGAGCGTGTTTATGTGTTCCGTATGGCTATCACTATAAACAGCGACTGTTTCCCTGAACAGCATTAACCGTTGGTCTCTGTAGCGGAGACGCAATGTGTTTCCTGTGAGGTACGGACTGAATCTTTATATACTACTTACATAAATTTTAGAGTTCTACGTGGTTTTTAAGTGCTCTGAAAGTCAACAGCTTCCGACCTCGGAACATTGCATCGGAGGACGCTCTATTTCGCACGAAACACTCCGCAACTCTCCGCCTCTGAGGGCCAGTCACTGAAGCACAGGCGGGCTCACACTTCAGATACGTTAACTCAGAAACATAAAGGTTTTCTTTGTCTCATTTGTCGGTAGTTCTCCAACAATGCTACAGAACGCCACACCTTAATTATTTCCTTTCCGATCCCTACAAATTCCAGTTCATTCATGACGAAAGTTTTTATCCTCAGAGCGAAGTGGTTCCCTGTGCAGCTGCCAACAATGCAGGAGCCGTATGTTTTCTCTTCACTTACATTATTTTAACTAATAGAGATAAATTGAAAAGTAAGAGAACTTTGAAGCTGGGCACACAAACCTCTTCTCTCTCCGTCTACAGCCTGCTTTGTGGCGGTCAGTAAACGTCAAACACTATTACCACTCTCTCTACTTATTCACCACGAAAAGAGGAAATAAATATTCCAAGCACAGTGTTGGGGGGAGGGGGATCGAGTGGAACCCGCAGTTCTGTTCTGGGGTGGCAAGACAAGGGCCGCGCGCCAAGTGGAATTCTGATTAACCCCTTTTCTCTAGCGCCGCTGTAGATTTACCATTCACCCTTTAAACCTCCCCCTACTCTACCCCATCCCCCAAAACTTTCTCATGACATTTAGGGGTCAGGTCTCAGAGCTCCACGCTTCCGTATTGAGAATCTTATGGGTCGAGTCTGTGTTAATATTTCATGAGGACGAACGAAGGAGAAGTAACAGGTGGCTCACCACTGCGGCAACATCACCAAACTGAGGGCGAACAACAAAAGGAAGCAGAAGGGACAACAAAAGCGGATTGCTCCACGATCATTCACTATGCGGGAGGGGTAGTGACTGAAAGAGCGGCCTATGTCCACGTTGAGATCAGGAAAGCCAATTTCGGTTTCCGAGCGTGTGGCAGTTCTCGGGGAGGGGGGAAGACGTGAGAAAAGTAATATTTATTTATTCGCGGTTTATTTAACGAAGCTCCCAGTTAATCAGATTATATTACTAAGACCTCGTGCTTAGTGGATTTGACTCAGTGTGTCTGGTACATGGTTACCGATATTTCGAAAGTACATACTGCCTTCATCTACAGGATATCACTTTTACAGTGAAGATGGATGAAGCGTGTTCCTCTGAAACGTCGCTAGCCACTACCGGACTTGACGGCAGTACTTCCCAGGAGACAATCGTCTCAACACCAGTATGCGTGGTCATGAACAGCCGAAATCTCAGAAGGAATCATTTCCTTTGCTTCAGGCAAATGAATTAACTTCGGTTTTGTACAAAAACCGTTAAGGAACAAAGTTTGGAGTTTCTGATCAACAAAAGAAAATAATTCGAGTTATGTTAATTGCTGAAAGAAACGTCATCCTGAACTTCGGGTACTTTGGACTACATCTGCAGCTTCCAGTACAAAATGTACACGGAATTGGAAGATGTCGTGGCCAATCTGACTTGTTAGCACAGTCGGGATTACGATATCAGAACTGTGTCAATGCAAAAGCTTTCTCTCATATGGAAGACCTGACACAATTCCGTTTGACCATAGCTTTGTCACACTCTTAGAAGCCAGAATACAGCGGTTACTTGCCCACAGCTGACGGCTTACAAAGTAAAGCTGCGGTCACCGAACCACGGACGTCAGACAGTTCTACTTCAGCAGCCAACTCTATGACTAATGAATCGCCAAAAACTGAACTCCGCGGCCTAAGTCCGCAAGCGAACTATACCCACCGAGAGATCGCCGCTTGTCGGCGAAGTTAGTGCCAACTTTAGCGGATAGATGGTGTCGCGTGGTCAGCGCAACGAATCCCCAAGGCCGGTAATTTCGGGTTTCTACACCGAAGCCGCTATTTCCTTGACGTAGCTCCTCAATTATCGTCACGAGGCTGAGTGGACCCGGTTCCAGACCCAATAATTCTCAGAAAATCTGGTAGCGCCGGGAATTGAACAAGGGACCTCTGGATCTGTAGCCAGGAACTCTGACCACTAGACCACAGAGGCGGTCTCTTATGCGCCTAATTATAAACTTACCCAACTCAGCATTCGTGTCCGATTATGCTGATTGCTTGGCTTACATTTCGACCCTGAAGATGGAGGAGATATATTTCCCCGAAACACCGAAATTTCTTAAGACTATAGGGCATTACAACCCAGAAAACTGTACTCTTCATGGTCACTCAACATAAATTAGTTGTGTTCTATAATTTGCAGTTAGTCAATACGGTCTTTGGTTTTGGTTGGGATGCCCAGAGAAGCGAAGTGCTGATTTCGTAAAGTAGATATAAATGCTTCTTTGACACCACGGAGCTCCAAATTAATTTAAATTGCTTTTAAAACCGGATTCTTATCTCACAGAAACCGCAATACTACAACGTAATTTTATTCGCGTAAATTATACGAAGGGCACAAATTCAATGTGTGTTGAGAAGCAGGTGGCATATATATAATTACTACTCTGCTTTCAAGTTTCACAGTAACTATCAGAAGAGGCAAGCATAAAATTTCGAAGTGAAACCCAACCTTCACTGAATGTTCCACGGGGCAAATCCGTCGAGAGCAGATACCCGTAACTTCCGGCGATCAATACACATCACCCAGTATGAAGTCCTCAGTCTACAGTAATAGGGCACTAATAAGCGGTAATGGAGTGCTTCATAAATGCAGGAATATATGAGCTTGGCACGCGGATACCCTCCACAGGCGACACTTGTTAGCTCTCAGACCATAGCGGTAACTATGTGTACCATCTGCTTTAATATATCGAAACTCTGCATTCTGCCCACACAATGCATTTCTGTGTTCCGTATGGTTCTCACATAAACAGTGACTGTTTCCCTAAACAGCATTAACCTGTTTGTCTCTGTAGCGGAGACGTAATGTGTTTCCTGTGAGGTACGAACTGGATTTATATACTTAGACGGCCTTCAGGAAAGTCACCCGTGAGGTGGCTGGGTCGAATACCTCCACCGTGACCCTGCGAGTCGTAGGCGGCGACGAGAAGGGAAGTCTCAAATCTGAGACAGTAAAGTACGGTCACGAATCCCAAGGGACTCGGACCTGAAAAAGACTGCGCTGGCAAGGGTCAGCAGCATATACAAAATATAGACCCATCCTCTCGTCAGAGAGGGCGCCCCACAAAAACAAGACTGTAACTGTCATACAGCAATGAATATCTGGTCATGAGCCCCAGATGTGACTCAACACCAAGACTTACCGACTGACTGACCGTCAGTCGCAATGTGACTTTGACTTTGAGTCTGACTGGAAACCTGGAAATTTCCAAAGGTCTACATGACTTTCAACCTTCCGTATGCATGCGATTATATAATAGAATTGTACAGGAAGCAATCAGAAGTCATACAAAATCATGAGTATGGACACGTTCGCGGCATAGGACAAGGCAAAACCAAAGAAAAATCGCCCTAGAATTTCCAACACGGAAGAAATAAAATTTGTAACAATAATTTTATTTCTTTGATATTAATATTTGTCATATTTCCTTCATTTGCTTCATTTCCGATATGTTACCAAAAATCCAAGTGTGGGGGTGGGCATAGCCTGTATCACACCACCACCCCCTCCATCCATTTTTCATCCAGCACCAAACACGCAGGACGAGAAGTTCGGTTATGGCCCGGATATTCGTCGCGTCCTGCTCGTCACGTGGAGAGGGCTCGCCTGTGTGAGGCGATAACACACGTCTGTTATTTGCTGAATACATAAATAGACCCGTGAGTGAGTCCCAGCGAGAGTGTCCGCCCGCCAGAACTGATACCTGTGGGGTCATTTCACGCGTATCACCACGCCCCCTACCCCACAACTCAACCCAGTTCGGTTTACGGTTATCTTCCCTAATGTTCATTTCGGCGACACAAATCTAATCACTAAAACAGAAACAAAATATTGAAAACAGAGCAAGCGCACTTCATCAGTTGTTATTAACTGACACACATAATTATGTTCCCTCATTGCGTGCCCAAGTGTTTCAAAAACACATGCCACATATTTCAGTGGCGTTATGCAACCCAGATATGTCAGCGGCGTTGCACAGCTTGTCTGAAGCGCACTCCAGGTACGTCAGTGTGTAACATACTTCTCGCTCTCCTTTTCGTTACGTAAGCCACTTAAGCGAATATCACAAAATTGCCCATAATCCAAACCCGGCATCTCACACAATTTCACATTTCGGTCTTAAGGATAGCAGGACCGGTTTGTACTCCGGTTGGAAGCTGTTAAGGTTTCGGAGGAATTTACCGACTCTGTAATCAGGATAAAGGTATCAGGATGGGAGCAGTATCTTATGTTCCTTCGAATCAGTGGTACTAACCTATAAGATTGTAACATGAAAATCAGATCGCCTGCTTAAGAACTCTAGGGAGTCGATTAATCAATACATTCACATTATTATCAATATCTTTAAGAAGCTGCCCCTTTTAACTTTGCATCATTAAAGGGGCTTAACTGGGAAGATAATACTAAAATGAGTCTTACACTAATAGCATAAGAATATCTGGATTAAATTACTGTCAACATTCGAGCGAAGAAACTGCAGCCACTTTCTGAAAAATGAAAGAGCGTTAGCAACAGCAACCATAGAGAATTTGAGCAGTGTGTTCATGCCCCTTACCTCACTGTACACGGGGGCCGTCTGTCTGGGGGTCCACTGGGTCTAACCTGTAAAGAAGAGAATGCAGCATTGACTAGGTATCTGCCGAAACTCTGCCCCAAAACCCAGACATTATAACATAAGTTCCACCTGTTGAATCGTGTGGCGCCCTATCCCAAGGGAAGGACATGTGTGGAGAGTGGCCGATGAGAATATCCGGAACTCAGAGGGATGAAGCAACATGAGGACGAGGGTAACTGCCTAACGAGGAGCTTCATAATCCCATATTATTAGAAACTGCAATGGGCGGGGCATGTAGAACACATCTGCACCTGAGAAATGCATGAAATATTTAAGTTACGTTAACCTGAAAGTAAAAGATCAATTGGGAGACCCAGGTGTGGATGGATGAAAGTATAAAGATGATTCTTAAGGAAACGGGATGTGAAATTGTGGACTGGATTAATCTGGCTCAGGATAGGGTACAGTGTGAGATATTGTGAACATGGTAGATCTCCGAGTTCCATAAAAGGTCAGGAATTCTGAAGAGATGAGCGAATATCAGCTTTTAAATAAACATCTGTCTCATGAAATCAGTTCTAAGGCTGTTAATACTTTCGAAGGCAGCACATGGCTCTGTGAATTGTTAAGAGCTGTGAGTCCAGAAAGTTCACAGAAACGTAAGAATGGCGAACGTTCTATTCCGGACAGAAAAGTTGCCCCCGTGTAAAGAAGCACTACGCCTTTCCCGAAACAACACTAATAGGCTGGCCCTACAGTGAAGACGCGCTGTTTCCTACGAGGTAAGAACTGAACTCAAACTTCATTAACCGGTTCGAATACTCAAATAATCACAAATATAAATTTATGTATGTTTTTCACGCCTGTATGCGTGCATAGGTATGTATTCTCTTCGCAAATGTTATGCCAGCTTCAGCGGATAGAGGGTGTCGCGTGGTCAGCGCAAACAATCCTCACGGCCGTTAATTTCAGTTTTCTTGATCGGAGCCGCTATTTCCTTGAAATAGCTCCTCGATTATCCTCAGCAAGGCTGAGTGGACACCGTTCCAGACCCATTACTCCTCAGAAAAAAAAACTGGTAGCGCCGGGAATCATATCCGGGACCTCTGGATCTGTAGCCAGGAACTCTGACTTCTAGACCACAGAGGTGGTCCATAGAAAGAAAGCTCTCTAAGAATAAATAAAGGTAAAGTTGTCCCTGTACTTAACTAATTAAGCACTACGCCATGAAGACGTATGGGGGAATGGATGTACAGATCCATATTTTCTTGACCTCGGCACTAGTTGGAAGTAAGTGGTCTACTTCACGCTCCGCCCGCTTTACCCCCGGGGAAAGTGCCCCGGTACCTATTGGATAGGAGGCTGGGTGGGCCCCAGAGCCGGTCTGGACGACGTGGAGAAGAGAAAAATTTTGACCCTACCGGGACTCGAACTCCGACCCCTCCGTCGTCCAGCCCGTAGCCAGTCGCTATACCGACTGAGTTATCCCGACTCCCATGTAAAAATAAATACGTACACTTCTTTCAGACAAAGCAACGGCCAGGTAGGGACTGGCGTTAGGGTTCGCGTGTTTAATGCCGGACTGCTGGCTAGAAAGCAGTTTGCAAACACAAGGTCCTGCGACCGGCCAGCTTGATCAAGGTTTTCAGTGGGTTCCCTCTGTCTTAAAGCAAGTGCTGAGGCGGTTCCCAAGTTCCCAGTTGCTACAGCGCATTTCTAATGCAGGCTTCACCACTTAAATTCAACAAAATTAAGTTCCGTTGCTGTCAAAGTCACATTTTTTTCCCTTCAAATTAAGCAGTTCAATACTAATTCAGAAAAGCAAAACCCCGCGGCCCCTGTCCCAAGCAACTGCTTCTAACCATCATAACGTCTTCACTTTCACACTTCGCTATCAGAAGGACGAGAGGGCGAAGCCTGGGAACATTCTAAGAACATGGTGCTCTTTCTCACCCCACAATAAAATATTTCTCGCTTCTCGCATGACTTTTCACCTTTCACTTTAGCCTACTCTTCTACCACACTTTCACCCCTCCTCTCTCGTTTTTATGATGAAGGGGCACTGTGTTTCCTGTGAGGTACGAACTGTGTTATATGCATGAACCTCAGGCTCCAAAGAAAGAATCAGATCAGACGCGTCTGTAAACAAGGCACCGCGATTTCCGGCAGGCCAAGTTCTCCGAACTCGGTAATTAACTACTTCATGTCTTCTCTACATTTTCAGATGGCGTTGCGTTTTCACGATATGCAGACAGCCGGGCTGAAGCAGTCATGTTGACGGTAACTAGCAACAGATATATGTATACAAGACAGACCAGACACGGAAGCAGGCATGAATGAGAGTGAAACAGGAAGCAAATCACAAGCTCTGTAGGATCATGGGGTGTAGCGGCGGGAACACGGCGGACCGAAGCTACATGGAACAAGAGTCCTGCTGCTTGAGAAGCTGACAGTCACACAGCTGGTGAGAAATCTTCAAGTCCTCTACCGTGTTCTCAACAGCGGGACCGTATCTTGTGCCAGATGAATCCACTCTATATCCTCTCATGATTAAAAAGGTAAATTTATCCTTGTGCTTAATTATGCCATGAAGACATATGTGGGAGTGGAGGTATAACTCCACCATTGTTAACCTCGACACTAGATAGTGGTGTGTAGTCAGCTTCACGTCCCGGCCGCTTTACTACGAGAATAGAGCTCCCGGTATCCATTGGCCAGGATGCTGGGTAGGCCAAAGAGCTGGTCTAGACACTGCGGAGAAGAGAAAAATGTCTTGCCCTTACAGGGAATCGAACCCCGCTGGTGTAGATCGCAGTACAGCCGTTATACTGACTGAGCTATCCCACCGGCTCCCCACCCATTATTTCTGAACTAAAATTATATACGCTTCACCTTTCCAGTGCATGCTACATGCACTAGTAATCTCATCTCCTTGGTTTAACTCAAATATATTAATATGTAATCATCGTTTACTGCTTCCTACTGCGGACCTAACAGAAAACACCCAAAGATATTATCGAATTCATTCCGTACTATTACCAATATGTACGGTAGTCACGGCTATTAAAGCGATGTGCAAGTTTTGCGGCAAGGTTTCTTTTTGTATGAAATTCAATTCCTCATTTCAAATGTTTTAAATAAGATCAACAGACTTTAATTTCTCACTTTTTGTCATTCCTTCTTTCAGGTTTCAGCCACGGTACGTTCTGATACTGCCAGTGAAGGCGGAGGTTGTAGGACGGGTTGCCTAGCTTCATATTGTCCATCAACGTAGATATATAGGACGGCTTCGCGTACATTAAATACGAAACTATGGATCTCTCTTTAAACGTGTGGTGCATTTTTCTTTTTGGAATTGGCACATGAATCACGTTTTCCCATGTTGCTGCACAAATCAGATTCAAACGCAGAGCTGCACTCCATCTACCAATAGCTACGGTATCAGTGAAACGCGGTAAGCTGTCTGCCTTCCCCAAACTAATGTTCTGTAGGCTGGGGAAAAAATTACTGCGGCTTGCGATTCCAATATAATATACACATACACGATCATATATTTCGTTTTCATCCCCCCCCCCCATAGAATTTATCTGACAGTTGTCAACACCGCACCCGCTACACAATTGTTTTGTCTCTCACATCCCCTCGGGACAGGATTAAGAGCCGGTTTTATGAAACAGTTCGACGGGGAAGCTTCATACTGCAACGCACACAATCCATAAATCGATTCGGATCAACCAAAGGGATTTATCGGAGGGGGGGGGTTACCTCCCTGGTAACTTCTATACCGTGCGAGAATCCCCGCAAAGATGACAGCTGACTGCGAGACACAGGGTTGTTGGGGGAGTGGTGGTAAAGCTCCATCATTCTTAACATCGGCACTAGATACAGGAAAATTGTTAGCTTCACGCCCCGGCCGCTGTACCTCCCGGGTAAGCATCCCTCGGTCCTCGTTTTATAGGAGGCTGGATTGGTCTCGGAGTCGGCCTGGTAGCTATGGAGATGAGAAAAAACTATTGCCCTTGCAGGAAATCGAACCCCACTTCCTCGGTCATCCAGCGTGTGTGTCAGCCGCTTTACTCACTGAGCTATCCCTGCTCAGAACCGGTGCAATTTGGCATTGTCTCGATTGCTTTGCTCTGAGTCCTGTACATAGGCTTCCCTTTCTTACTCGTATATTTACCAGACTAAACGGCGTCATGTCCCGGAAGACGTTAAGCGTCAGCACTGTTTCTACGCGTAGTTCGTGTGTTTATTGTTCACAACTGCAAATGGGCGAGGTTGTGTGACTGACTGACGCGGTGGGATACGGAGTTGCCTGCTGGCCTGATCCAGCCACCTGATTGGCTATCTTCTGGGACGTGATCATTAGCAACTGCTTTCCTGTTCTCCCCATCGCGTTCCGTAGGACAATAGCATAACTTCACTCCACTGCCCCGCGTGTATACACTGAGCAGTGCTTCAAAAGCTGACAGTAGCTCACCTAGTCAAAAAATTCCGCCTTTTATTGAAAACGAAGCTTATTACCATGGTCACGAGAGTTCACCACTGGGTCATATTCCGAGCCAGATTAATCCAATCTACGTATTCACAAACTGTTTCCTCAAGATCCATTTTAATAAAATCGCCCCATCTATTCTTAGGTCTTGCCTTTAGGTTTCCTGCGCGCCCTTAATGAGTTGCTTTCCAACTCCTTCGTCGGGGTCTCTTACCGACAGGGGTAGGGTTCGAGACTTATTCAGAAAAAACAGCAAACCGGTTCACGTGCCCACAGGCTGTGCTGTGCGTGGGTGTTTCAAGACTTAGCGTCAGAGCCCTCTGCAGTGCGGCATGATGGCCCTTCAGGGCACGAGAGAACCACGCCCTACGCAATGCATTATAATTTATATCTTTTTTTTATTGCTAGTGGGGTGGGACTAAGTCCCTTGTACTGCGGCCACTTCTGGCCCATTGTACCAGCCCCAGATGATAGGTGAGGGTGATTAAGGAGCAATTGGAATGAAGATTGGCAGGGGAAACCGAAGTACTCAGAGAAAACCTGCCCCAGCGC